AAAAAAAAAAAAAAAAAAAAAAAAGGGGAAAAAAAAAAAAAAAAAAAAAAAAAGAGGAAGAAGAAGAAGAAGAAAAAGAAAAAAAGCATTGTTTTGAGTATTTGTTTAATTTTAAAAGATATCTTACCAACTTCATCAAATCCTGCAGAAACTCTTTCAGTGACTTCTGGATTTGCTTAATTAGGGGCCTGGGCATGCCACACTTTCAGGATTTTTACTTGCAGAACATGTTCATAGAATGTGCGCTGTACTATTCTCCTCCAATAAATCATAAAATACAGGTTTATTGTTGCTAAATGACAAAATGGTGATAAAAGTTTGGAGGGCCTTCTGCCTAAGTTTGTTATTTGATGTTTAGTTTTGCAGAGCGTGCTCCTTTGAGCCTTTAGGTTGAATTTAATCACCAACATTTCCACACCAGGATCCAATCAGACAAATGCTTTACATCAACCACCACCTTCTCTCTGAGCCTCTCTTTCAGATTCCTGTCATTTCTGCCCGTCTGTAATCTGCTTCCTCAGTCAGGTTTGGTGTTTGTGTCTAGATTTCTAATTCAGCAGCCCTTGCTTTGGCAGCGCCTCTCCTTTCATTTTTGGCTGAACAGAGTTCATTTCATTCCTCCAACCAGCTGAACCCTAACTGGTGCCAGCTTCTGGATCCTTGGATGAACCACACGGTGTCTCAGTTTTCGCCGAAGAGCAGAGGAAACGAAGGCAGCCGAGGAGAGGAGCTCTCCGGTGAGCATCGCTCCTTCCGCTAAACGTGGATATAAATATGTAGTGGCTTCAACGGAGTTCTTTCCACTGACTCGCTTCTTTAGATTTCTGTTTTTGGCTTTTATTTTTCATTCAAACATTTTAACTCAAAATCTAAAAGTTTGCTGAATATAAACATTGACATTTGTAATATTGGCCTTCTTAGTTATTTAGAATTTTAAAAATATGCTTTTTTTGTGCGTTTCAACTTTTTTGGGGGGATTCAGACAGATGTCCTTGTTGCAATTGGAAGAACATTTACTACCATAAAAAGACTTAATCTATAATAAAATGTAATGAAGAGAAATAGATTATATATATATATATATATATATATATATATATATAGTTAGTTTGGAGAATATGTTCTTTTTGATACATTTAGTGATTTTCCGTTAAAAAAAGTGGTTGAATGAACCAGAATAGCAAAAAGTGTGTAAATATTTACACCGAAGCCTGAAAATATTAATATCGCAGCCAGATTTATGGCTACAGTCAGAAACATGCGTCTTCTGACTGGAAGAACAATTAGTTCCAGGTTTGTTATGACGGAGAATCGGTGACGTGGCAAAAGGTTTCCAGCAATATTAGAAGCATTTGATAGCTGCAATGTCAGTAAAGGAGTCTTGAGTTCTATGAGTGATGAATTGACCTTTAGTCACTAATTGTAATTTGAGTTAAGATGATTTAATTTTGTCAACAGGAAACAACAAAGTTGAACAACAGCATCAGCTGAGTTTCCATTACAAATGTGCGCAAAACTTTGTTGATGTTCCGCTAAATTAAAAAACAACAAAAAAACCCATAATTTTGCATTTGCAGTGTTTCCATTAATTAAGAAACAATTAAAATCACACATGAATGAGTTTGCTCGTTATGTACCACCACTTCCTGTTGTCGTCTTTTCCACCAGTAGTAACAGCCGGTTGTTGATCGTGTGACTCACGTAGTGCAAGCAAAGTGTTTCCACCGCAGATCTGCAAAATGCACTGATTCCGATACTCCGGGGGAAAAAAATCACCTCATCCTAATGCATAAACGTACAAAAAACATGAGTTTTTTTTTTTGTTTTGTTTTGTTTCAAAATCGCTGTTTCCATTAAGCAATTTTATTTTCGTAATTCCAATTTATTCACTTTGAAGTTCGATGGAAATGCAACACCGTGACCTTCTGGTCCTCAAATTTAGGAAACAAAAAAAAAATACAAGAAACGGGCAGACAAATAAAAGCGACGCAAAGGTAAGAGAAGAAAAACACAGAGCAGATGTAAAATCCAGAGTCAGGAGGCCGAAAGAAAGTGATGCATATAAATAATAATAAAATACAAAACTAGTTAATGACAGAAAAACTAAGAGCTAAAGATTTTAGCACTGAAAAAGGCGACAAATGGAGAGAAACAAGAACCCAACCAAAATGTAATATTCAAACAAATCTACAAAACAAAAGAGGAAACAGTCACCTTTAAAAAAACAAAGTATGAGAGGAGAAACTTAAACCAAGAGAAACAACAAAAACATGAGCCTTAAACCACGACAGAAACAATGACTTATAAGAACTAACATGGATGATTCAAAATAATACAACAGCAGTAGCTAAAGGAAATACAGTCATAAAAATGTGAAGGACAAGAGCAAAATGACCAAAAACAAAGAAAAGAGTGGACAGGCAAGACGTGACAGCTGAAGGGTGAAAGAAAGGTGAGAAGAGAGAAACAGAGGGAGGGTAAATATTAAAATGACTGATGTGCACTCTCTAATCTCAAGTGCAGCTGGCAGCGGAGCTGCATTGTCAAGCCGGTGTAACAAACTGACAAACCCTGGCACTAATGCAACGTAGCAGAAAGACAGCCAACAAGGCAGAGCTGCAGACGGAAAGAGAGAGGGATCATTTCCTTTTTTCCTCCTTAACAAAAACCTAAAGACAGACTGCCGCGCGTACACATCCGGTATTAAACACCGAGGCCAGGAACTCTGTGTGATTTGGAAACATGGTTTCTGATCGAGCCGTTGTCGTTCACTTGGTTAGCATTAGCATTTAGCATTTTGTTCAGAGAAATATGAGTATCAGATGTTGATCCAACATGAGGTTCGCCAAGATGTTTATAGGAACCAGAATTTTACGCAACCTTCTTCAGTTTCAGTGGAAAAAAAAGCCGACAACTCAAACGGCTAATATAGCAGGGTTAGCTAACATGCTCTCAATCACAATTAGGGAAGAAGGCAGAGGACAGCTGAGTGGTTGCAGCCATTAGTGGAGATCATTATAGTTGACAATCACACAGAATGTGACTTTATTAAGAAAAAGTGGGATGGAGAGAGAGAGAACTGAAAATCTGTGGGATTCTGTGGACCGGAGGCTAAAACCTGTCAAGCTCATCGACCACCTTTCCATCTGTCCATCTACTGGATGACACGGTAAGTGGAGTTTTAACCTGCCGTGTTGGATTAAAGTCAAATCCGTCCCCCAGGCTTCGCTGACACACCTGGTCTGATCTCCAACTTGGTCAGCAGCTGTCTGGCTGCCCGTCTTTCTGCTCAACGGTTTGTTCCCCCCCCCCAAAAAAAAAGAAGAAGAAGTAGCAGGGGAGTATAGAGGTCTTTCTCTGTCCCTGCCCGTCACCTCTGTCACAAAGCTCAACGCTCGGCGGGCTCAAGGACATGTGATGGACGGAGTCGGCCTCTGTTGGGTTGAGGCGGGAGGATGAACCCAGATACCGGCCGGACCGTCTGCGCTGACCGTTCTGCTTGTTTACATCGCCGCTATAGTTAATTTATGTATTTATTTACTTATTTCTATAACTGCTGTTTTATGATTAATGAAATTTTAGATCATTTTGACTCTGCAGACAAAACCTGCAGTCGGATCTCCATAAATCACAACTGAAAGGGAATATTTACGTTTACTATGGAGAATGTGGGTTGTTAAATAAACAAAATGTTACATTTTTTAATATTAGTTTTGACAATTAATACATTTGTTAAAAAATTAAAATATTAAGAAATGACATTTAAGAACTGTACATGAATTTTGACTGAAATTATAAAAAGGATTAAAAATATTTTCTTTAATATTAACCTTATAGCAACACCGTCTAACTTTGATATAATACTACAAAGACACTCCAAGCTTTGGATTTCTGCCTAACAACAAACTCAGACAATAGTTTTCAAAACTCATATAATAAATTAAGCTTTTTTTTTCTAGTATCAACACATTATTGAACAACAATAATGTGTTTTTGTGCCCACATAGAAAATACTCGACAGATTGGTTTAGCAACAGCTAGCCGAGGCTGATGGGTAAGTTTCTCTCATGATGCAGACGTAAAGAATAAATCTGTGCGTCTACTGTAAACACATAAGCATCAAGCAGATAAAACACACATATTCAATTCAGTAACACTGGAAGCCGCTCCAACAATAACGGCAAAACAAGCACTGTGCAAAAGTCTTCAGTCGTCCGTTGGGGTGTTAGGTTTTACTTCCATGGTGTCTGATTTATTTATTTTTTTATCTTTTACAGTTTTCTCAAACTATATTCCTTCAGGTTTTCAGGGGCTATTCCAGAGTTTGGGTTTGGAAACAGGAAATGTTTGCAGTCTTGTTCAGTTCAGTAATTTCTTTGACTTTGCTTCATGCCATTTCCCGCTTTTGCCATTTTGCATTTCTGGTGTTTCAGAACAGAAAGGAGCCGCTGATTTGGAAAGCATGCACACCTCTTAGAAAATGACTGATTTTTGTAATGTGAAAAATTGTCAGAAAAAGTGTCAAATAAAAAAAATCTGCAACACCTGGTGTATGAAGCCTAATTCATACCGCACAATTCGGTCTAGTGTTAAACTGCAAAGCCTGCATGACCTAGTTTTTTCATCTCTACCTGTTCACTAAGATCTGTGAGGACTCTTTATGTCTTATGACTGATTAACGTACACACCCAACGGGATATTAATACTTCCAGTCTCAAGGTGGCGCCAATCACACTGACGTTGGAGAAAATGACGAATCAGACCACAGGCAGAAGAGGAAAAAAAAAAATCAACAAAGTTTGTTTTAAAGGAACAGCATATGAGGAGATCTATTTCTCAGATACAAAAACTGGAAAAATCAGTTAAAGGTTTTCATTCTCTTCGTTGTCTGAGTAAGCGGTGTGTAAACCACGGCTGTTCCACTCCTTAAGAGGCAGCAGTAAAAACCATACGCTTCTAATTGGCATCTCTGCTAAACAGCGCTTGTTGCTTGTTTGTTGCCTCCAAGTAGCCTGAGTTTTCAAATCAAGAGTTGTGTCAAGACCTACATATACAACTCTTCAGCTAAAGGTTTTCCCTGATTCTTCGCAAAACCTTGAGACCAAACGCGAGTTCAGAGTAAACAAACATGGCCGACTGGGAAGAAGCTAAAATCGGCAAATCCTGCCATGGCTTGAGTCCAAAGAAAATTTAAGAAAAAAAAGATTCAAAAATGAAACCTTCAAAAGATTACATAAAAATCTGACTCTAAAAAAAGGAATATAAAGTTGCTAGTGGTGGTTTAAACTTTTGCAAAGTACTCTATGTTACCAGGTGAACCAATAGGTTGTGTAGCCATCGACATGAATCACACTACTACTGTGAAATAATTTTAAAAAAAAAAAGGTGAACATTACTCACTCCCACTGTTTCCTCTTGGCCTGCGGCGTGTTGTGCAGCTTGTGTGCTTGGTGGGCCAGGATGACGTCTCGGTAATCCACCGTCCCGCCCCTCCGGCGGATGAGTGGGACCGTCGGGTCGTTGTTGCTGATGACGAGGGGCGAGGTGCCCTGGCCAAAGGGATCCCCGTCCACGCTTTCGCCGCCGGAGAAGGGCAGCTCGCTGTACTCCTCCACCTTGACGTCGTACACAGCATGGTAGTAGGTGGGGTTTGGGCCGACGCTGCTCCCACTGATTCGAGGAGAGTTGTAGCACAGCTCCCGATGGAGGGCCTGAGAGGAAGAGGAGCACGAGAAAGTGTGAGGCCACACCACCGAGCCCCCATGGTCCTGATAGAGAGGGGAAAGCATGGACCTGCAAGACAGTAAGAGATGCAGAAAGAGATCAACGTCCAGTTACATTTACTGTCCTTTAAGGAAGATTGTCTCAATCCTTAAAACTGCTATGAAAAACAACAGCACAGGGGAAAGATGTGACATTACTGCTTTAGTATTTGGCAAAAATTGCCTTTTAAACACAATGCTTCCCCAAGCTTTTAACTATAGCTTCCCGTCTGGTTTGTGGGCTCCACAAACCAGGTGGTTTGCAGTGTGTTTCCATTGCAAACGTGCACAAAACTTTGTCAACATTCCACTAATATAGAAAAAAAAACATAATTTCACAGTTCAGTGTTTTCATTAAATAAGTATAAATAAAAATCGCACCTGAATACATTTGTTTGCAAAATAAGTCATAAAAATCATGCCATGCCATGATCCTCCAATTACTTCCTGTCGCCTTCTTCTTCTTGGTTTGCGCCAAGTCATCATCACTGATTATGTGACTTGTGTGGTATTAAAAAAATGTGTCCATTGCAGTTTTGAGAAATAAACCAATTTAGAAAGAACCTAAGAACCATCCTGGTGCCAAAACATTTTATGAAAAATTTGCGTTTTCGAAATTGCCGTGTTTTCACTGAGAGAGTTTATTTTCCAAATATCAAAACAGCAGAGGAGATATGAGAAAAACAGATGGAGAGAGGAGAAATCTGGCAGGCAGAAGGAAGGTGAAAGATAAGCAGAGGAAGAACACAAATCTGAATCGGAGGCTAAAAAGAGATGAACACAAACTGAGGAACCTGGTACATGTGGTCAAATAATAAGTATCAACCAAACAAATGAAGCCAAAGCTCCAAACACCTACAGGTTATGACAGAGTAGCATCACTTCAACTGTGGCTTCTGCTGCTGAGTTGACCCTTCTGGGCTACTGTAGTGCAGTAGAAGATGTACCTGTGCTGCAGTCTCAGATCCTGTTTAGCATCTAACAAAATTCAAGTAGTTATGCTTTCTTTCTGGTGCTTTTATACAAAACGTTTAGCTGTTAATGAAACCAGGTGTGAATACAGACCAAAGTATGCGAAGGAATTTCTCACAACCCAAAAACCTTCGCTTGCAGAAGCTGGCCAGCTGTGTTGAGGTGTGAAAGCAGCCACACCTCCGCACAGCTGAGCTACTCATTGTTACAACTGGAACAAGCCATGTGACAAACTGACTGCCACATGGTGACTAAAGGAAAGACTGCCAGAGCCAGCGCGCGGTTGTTAGGGCCAACCAGTAGGATACTCTGCTGGAATCCAGACTGAATCCTTCCTAAAGACGTGCAAAAAGCCTTAAAATAAACATATTTTTTATTTTACTTTCACAATGTTGTGGCGTGTTCACATGATCACATGTCCAGTGAACACATGTGGACCTGGACTGGGGGTGTTGACACAATATGTGGGTGTTACAGTGTTTTTAAGGGTCTCCAGACCAAAACAAGCAAAGTGTCCACATTCTCTGGACCTACAACCTACAATCGTAGGTTGTTCAGGTTACATCTACCCTTGTCATTGATACTGTTTGTGGTGTGTGAGGATGGGATTTTAAATGTGGAGAAGAGGGAGTCCAATTTGCGACCCACAAGGTCTTATCTTTGCTTTACATAAACATGGTTCTGTTGGCGTCTTCAGGTGGAGTATGAAGTGCATGAAGTCGGTTCTGCCTTTGTCCGCCATGGCCAGATTTGTCTCAAATATCAGATGCAGTGTGGTTCTTCCGACTTTTTCGAAGCCTCTTCAGTTTTAGTACAAGCCCTGTGTTGGACACAAGCGATTTGATTGACAGGGGAATGCATACGTTGTTTGGCCCATCATTTACGCCACTGGATGAGAGAAGGCCGGACCTTGCAACTTCCAAACAACGTCGTCTCAACCACCGCAGTGGACAGGCAGACATGGTGTCTGCAGGCAGAGCTGGTCAACGTAGAAGGGTGTAATGATGAACAGTATCTGGATCAGTTCAAATGTCAACATTTTGGAGCAAAATGTTAGATTGGAAGATTGCTTCCGTCTCTTATGGTGAATAAAGAGTTCAACCAAAAAGAAAAGCTTTACCGGTCTGTTCACATTCTCGCCCTCACCCTACAGTAACAAGACTGAGAAAACGAGATCCAGCAGACAAACCGATTAAATTCGCTTTCTCTTTAGCTTCCTCAAATGCAGAGCTGGGATTTGAGGAGCCTGGTGTTCTGCAGCTGTTAGCTGTGCTGCTGGTTCAACACACCTCAATCAAAAGGCTGAATTATCTCCTCATTATGCAGTCATGTTCTCCAGAGTCCTGCTAATCACCTCATTACTTGACTCAGGTGCGTCGAAGCAGAGACACATCAAAACCCTGCAGGACACCAGACCTAAAGGTCTTTTGAAAATAACGACCTATAAGTGGGTTTTAAACGTACTTTTCATTAAGCCCCCATTTCTGTTTTTAAGACCAGAATTATTTTTATTAGTTTGATGTAATATTCTCATCTTAAATGTCATATTTTCATGAGCTGTAGTGGAAAAT